GATTCACAAAAGCCAGTTTGGTGTAGCGGATGGGAGCATGGACTCTAAGCCGGGAGAACCAGATTTGATTCCCGACACCTCCACATACAGCTGCTGGTGTGACCTTGGGTCAGTCACAAGGTCTCCCAGAGCTGTTCTCTCAAGGACAGTCCTCAAGAGAGCTCTCTCAGCCCCACCCACCCCACAGGGGGTCCTGTTGTGGGGAGGGGAAGGGAAAGGAGATTTTTAAGGTGCTCTGAGATTCCTTCAGGTAGTGAAGGGCAGGGTATAAAAACCTACTCTTCTTCTTCTCATCCCCTGCCACAAATGTTGCTAGTCTTTAAGGTGATACTGAACTCTAGCTCTACTCTCCAAGCAGAAGTCTGCTTGACAGAAACGGCACCAGGCCCAAGGAGGATCAGATCCAGAGTCAGCCCCACAAACAGGGGATCATGAAGCTAGGCTCTGAAAATGGGACCATTTGAGAACCAGTGACTCAGCTGATGGTGGGGATGCTTGAACCCAGGTTGGATCATGTCCTGTTCACCAGCTGCAAAAAGAGAGCCAATTTTTGGTGAGCAGTTCAACCCTTTGTCAATAATTTTGTGGCTGTTTGGTAGGCGGCTTGACTGTATTCCTGTCTAACCATGCATTACTGCACAAATAGCTATTCGCATAAGAGAAGCCATGTTGGGTCAGGCCAATGGTCCATCCAGTCCAACACCCTGTGTCACACAGTGGCCAAAACCCAGGTGCCCTCAGGAGATCCGCCAGCAGGGCCAGAATTCCAGAAGCCCTCCCACTGTGGCCCCCAAGGACCAAGAATAGAGATCATCACTGCCCCAGACAGTGTGTTCCACTTATACCTTGTGGATAATCGCTACGGATGGACCTCTGCTCCAAACGTTTCTCCAATCCGCTCTTGAAGCTATGCTTGTAGCTGCCACCACTTTCTGCAGCAGTGAATTCCACATGTTAATTACTCTTTGGGCAAAGAAGGACTTCCTTTTATCAGTTGAGTGCTCACGAGTTCTTGCATTGTGAGAAAGGGAGGACAGGACTTTTCCCCCTCTACTTTCTCTTTTCCATGCATAATCTTGTAAACCTCGATCATATCACCCCTCAGTCGTTGTTTCTCCAAGCTAAAGAGCCCTAACTGCTTTAACCTTTCTTCACAGGGAGAAAGGGTTCTAGTCCCTTAATCATTTTAGTTGCCCCTCCCTGCGCTTTTTCCAATGCTATAATATATTTTGTGAGGTGCGGTGACCAGAAATGTACACAGTATGCCAAATGAGGCCACATCATAGATTTATGCAGAGGCATTAGGTTTATACAGGGGCTGTCACACAGCCTGGCTGAGTTCTACTACCTCACCCACACCCTGCCAGCAAAAGCCTCAGTCTCTATGCCCTGTTGTTGGCCCTCCAGAGGAATTGGTTGGCTGTTGTGTGAGACAGGACGCTAGACTAGATGGACCACAGGTCTGATCTAGCAGGGTTCTTCTGATGTTCTTATGAAAGCCTCGGCCTCTGTGCCCTGTTGTTGGCACTCCAGAGGAACTGGTTGGCCACTGTGGGAGACAGGATGCAGGACTAGATGGACCACTGGTCTGATCTAGCAGGGCTCTTCTGATGTTCTTATGAAGGCCTCGGCCTCTCTGCCCTGTTGTTGGCCCTCCAGAGGAACTGGTTGGCCACTGTAGGAGACAGGATGCTGGACTAGATGGACCACTGGTCTGATCTAGCAGGGCTCTTCTGATGTCCTTATGAAGGCCTCGGCCTCTCTGCCCTGTTGTTGGCCCTCCAGAGGAACTGGTTGGCCACTTTGGGAGACAGGATGCTGGACTAGATGGACCACTGGTCTGATCCAGCAGGGCTCTTCTGATGTTCTTACGAAAGCCTCGGCCTCTCTGCCCTGTTGGTGGCCCTCCAGAGGAATTGGTTGGCCCCTGTGTGAGACAGGATGCTAGACTAGATGGACCACTGGTCTGACCCAGCAGGGCTCTTCTGAAGTTCTTATGAAGGCCTCGGCCTCTCTGCCCTGTTGGTGGCCCTCCAGAGGAACTGGTTGGCCCCTGTGTGAGACAGGATGCTAGACTAGATGGACCACTGGTCTGACCCAGCAGGGCTCTTCTGAAGTTCTTATGAAGGCCTCGGCCTCTCTGCCCTGTTGGTGGCCCTCCAGAGGAACTGGTTGGCCCCTGTGTGAGACAGGATGCTAGACTAGATGGACCACTGGTCTGACCCAGCAGGGCTCTTCTGA